GAAGCTGGCTCATGAATGATTCGCGCGAACTTAAACGCATTTAGGCAGATCGGGGATCAGCGCATTCCTTTCAAAAACAAAAAGCATCATATGACCCCTTTAATCGGAGACATTCTTGTCTTCCCCTGCACTGGAGTCGACGGAATGGCGGACAGCCCACAGCTCACTCAGGGCGGGTCTAAGGTAAGACGGCCTTTTCAATCAACTATCGCGGGAGGGGCCTGTGCAGAACTATGTCATTCTGACAGTAATCTCAGAACGGCCTGATTTGAGAAAGGGGATTTTAAGATAGGGATTTAAAAAAAAAAACACTGGGTGGATTTTTATCATTATAGGGTGGATGTGTACACACACTTCCAACACACATTTATGTTCAAACAACAACAAAAGTGAATTTTGCATCCGATGACCCCTTTAATGTCTGAGGACAACCCTAAGAACAGAATTTCTTAAAAGATACAGCAGTGAATTTATAGGAAGCGACTACTGTCTAAACCAGAGCTGTCCAAACTCGGTCTTGGAGGGCCGGTGTCCTGCAGAGTTTAGCTCCAACTTGCCTCAACACACCTGACTGGAAGTTTCGATGCCTAGTAAGAGCTTGATTAGCTGGTTCAGGTGTGTTTAATTAGGTTGGAGCTAAACTCTGCAGGACACCAGTCCTCCAGAACCGAGTTTGGACAGCCCTGGTCTAAACTATGCATGAATTTTTAAAGAAATGCAACATTAAAGGCTTGTAAAATACCATGTAAAGCTACCACCAAAGACCAAAATCTAAGTGCTATCTGTTCAAATGTCTCTAAAATTACACTTTCTAATCCACACTTTCATTTTCCCCCCATTTGTTTTAATCAAATTATGACAGGTTTATGGTGTAAAAAATCTAGGAAGTAGTATGAATATGATTAGGATAGCATTTTAACCCATGATGCACCATGTTTTTGGTGTTCAAACTTAAAAGCTTCTGGCCAGATTTTTGTCCCTAATATTTGCTACAGTATAATAATGTTTTAAGAGCAGATAATATATATTTTTTGGCAATTACAGTACAGAGGTAATCCTTGTAAATATATTTGTACTGAATGCATTTACATTATTGTCATGAATAAATAATTACAGCTAACAGTCTCTCTGAAATGACATATGGAAGTGTTATAACTGCTTTCATATAATAACCTAGAAGATAATAGTTGTTTTTTTCCCGTCAATTCACATTAATAAATTGTGCTTTACGTAAAATAAACAACATCAACATCAAATATAAACGTTCTGTACATTTTACACATTCACACACCAATATCACATTACAAATCCTTCTACAAATACAAAACTCTTCTTTTAAGAATACATTTAAATCATTTAAAAAACTGTATAAAATGATTATGTTTGTAAATCAGTTTGATATAAGAAAATAATTTTGGCAACTGTCAAATAATCTCCAGCTTCAGATGTTTTGGTCTGTTTCATGGCTGAATCTGTGAGGAGCTGAAGCTTTGGACATCAGACTTTCCATAAGCAAATATGCACACGTAAAATAATAGAGAAAAAATGTTCTTTGATACACAAACTTACATACAAAAAGTGCCAACATGTGCTCTCGTTCTCTCACTCTCCCAAAAGAAATACTCTCCTCAAGATATCGATTACACATACACAAATGAAAACAAACGTCAAGTATGTTTTCTACTGTCCACACACTCAAACATACTCTTTTAGTGAAATCACACCTGACTGACAGGTAAGCAGAGCAGAGACTGTAGGAAACTATAGTGAGGCCACACCTCCCGAGACAAAACATCAACGTCTCCCAAAAACAAGTTAAAATGTGGTTATTGAAGGACTCTGGGAGGACGGGTGTTTTAAATCTAGATCACTAAAGGCCCAACACAAATATCATATAATCTAAACATAGGTAGATCCATCAGGAATTGTGCACAATTATGTATATCCCTCAACTAACTGTTTAATAAATAAATGTATATTAAATAAAGGAATTTCATATCTCGAGCTAGTTTTGAGCTGATTTCGCTTACACGACTATGGCCTGGGCAACAGTGATCAGATAACAGTACTAAATAATAAAGTAAAGAGAGTGAGGAAAACATGAGCATATACCTGCAAGCTGAGGATCACCTGTTCTAATAGAAATAAGTGGACACCGTCCAGGGAATTTCTCACAGATCGTCTGGTGGTGGAGGTCAACTGCTGCAGCACAAGGTGCATGTCCATCCACAGGAATTAGTGTGTGTCAGTGAGACTTGCTTGTGTTTGTGTGACTCATGTGATGAGTGTTTCGTTGACCGAAGTCTCATCTAGCAAAGCTTGCACAGTGATGCCAACTTTGATCAGGCCCTTCTCCTCCAGAATATGATGTGGCAGACATAACTTATCCTGGAGAGAGAGATTGACAAAGTAAAAAGTTTTTGACAAGCAAAGTGTCATGGCAGAGATGAAAGAGACAGGGTTCCCACAGTCATGGAAAACAGAATTTTTTATTATACATAATTTAATTTATTAAACTGAATGCTCTCGTTACTGAATACAGTTAATGAAACCAACAGAGACTCACCTCGTTTAGCAGTGATGCCAAATAAAGCACTATATAAATGCATCATTCATTCATTCAAATATAATATCAGTTATGCAAACAAACAAATATAAAATAAATAGTGCTGTCAAACGATTAATCGCATCCAAAATAAAAGTTTTTGTTTAGATAATATATGAGTGTGTACTGTGTATATTTATTATGTATATATAAATACAAACATATGCATGTATACATTTAAGAAAAATATGTTATGTTTATATATTAAATATATTTATATATAATATAAGAATATAAATATATAAATGTATATACATGTAAATATTTTCAAAATATATATTGTATGTGTATTTATAGATACATGATAAATATACACAGTACACCTACATATATTATGTAAACAAAAACTTTTATTTTGGATGCGATTAATCGC